TTCTGGTCAGACATAAGGCTTACTGACTGTTTCCAAGTACAACAAAAATGCTTAAATCTACCAAATTCGGCCGAATTATATAGCCTAGGTATACTCAGAATTAACATGATGAAAACATTCCGTACTGGAAATTTCTCAACACAAGGCACCTAGATAAGCGCCATAACTACATGTTCCTTAAACAACAAACCAAGGAAAAGCTAGTAGCAACAGGCATATAAATCAAACGGTTTCGCTAAAAGGAAATGATAAATAGAAGCGAACGAATTTGTAAGAAAATGGAAGAACCAATCTGAAATAAAGATTTATCAAACAAGGACGCAACAAAAAGAAGCTTAACCTAAAAAAACTAGAACATCCTGTAATTTAATTGATATATATATTTAAAGCAATTAAAAAGTACCCTACAAACAATTTAAATATTTTAAAGCCACAAAACATTTCTAGATATCTTTTTTAAAATATTTAAGCGTAAACAAGACGAACGACAGGATCGCTTAGGAGTTAATGGATAGGCATAAGCACAGCTTAAACCAGCAATCCAATATAAAAGTTTAGCAGAATAGATTCCTAAAGTAACTAGTAATATGAATTAAATACTGACTAAGTAATATAAGTCCTAAACCTCAAAATAACAAGCAGAACAAAGTGTAATCCATATTAAGATATAGATATGATAAATAAAGATTAATAGAAATGTTAGGTCCATTTACTATTTTGCAGAATCTGTAAGCTGATATTCGCGCCTCCTGTCGTAACACTCTTTAATTCCTGGATCATCCCACAGAGATTTGATTGCTACCACGTGTTGCGGATCCAGTGTGGTGACTGATTCATAGTCGATTTCTCTAATAGATTCCGCGTATGACTAAATAGCAAGCGTATAAAAGTATGAATGGAAGTAAATTAATCAATGAAATAACTTAAGTAAACTTATGCTAAAGATAGAAAAACACGATACAAAGACCAAAAAACTTATTTTATTTTTGAGCTGTAGTAAGAGTTAAATATAATTTAGATTATAAGAGAAAATAAAAAGCACCTGGTTATTGGGGTTCTCATAAGGGATCTTAAGGGTTTGCATTGCACGAATCATTGTGTACATTGCCATATATATATTCTGATACACGAGTTTTATAAAGCTTCTTCTATCCTCATCCGAATACCCAGAACCATGTATTATACGCATTTGCTTGATAAACGTACTTTTCCCAGATTCACCGGTACCTAGAAAACATAAGACAATAAAAATCTCCGAAAAAAAAATGCAAAGACAAAATAATCTGAAGTAAACAAACCAAGAAGAAGCAATTTAAGTTCCCTTCTTGCATCTTTTTTGTCTCTCTTAAGCTGCTTTTCAATTTCCTTATTGATTCTATTTTGCTCTTTGTACTCTTCGCTCCTACAGCAAGCCATTTAAGCCAGAGGAAAAGGAGATTCAAGAAAAATAAGCCCTAGAGAAGAAGGAGATAGGCCCGTATAGACAAGAATTTGGGTATTATAATGATAAACGATCTAGAAGGGGGAAATATGAGACAAGGAAACCATTTCCTTAAGTCAAATTAGCCTCCAATATTTGGTCGTCCATTCAAGTCTACGTTTAAGAAGTCATCATAAATAATAAAGAACAACATTTTTTTATATAAAAACAACAGTATTTTAATTTATAAAACTAACTATATTATTTAAATAGCTTTTTTTATATTTAAATTTCTCCTCCGACTTGCTACGAATGCATAGTAGATATTCATTGTGATAAATCTTATCAAAAACCCTAATTATCTTCTATTATTCCTTATATATCCATTAACTTACAAAGTAAGTCTATATTATGATGAATTAAATTGATTTTCCATTCTGATAATTGATTTACGATGCCATTTAGCAAAGTTAGTTTATAGGTTATGCTGCATCCTATGCCATTGTTGTCTCGTGCTTTACATTCCTGAAAAGCTTATTAGATACAGTCTCAGAAACTTTGCAGATAAGGAAGTGGTAATATATTTTAATAAATATAAGTAGCTATGCAATGAAATGCACTTTAGTAATTGGTACGATTTTGTTGACATAAAGTTCG